GTTCTGCTTGCTGCATTTTGTTACTTAGGTTTGGCTTCTTTCAAATTGTCATTTCGACTTGAGAGAGCGTTTAGGCTTAGTATACTCAGTTTGGAATCGATTTCGGTAACCCAAACTATGTTCACTTTTTAAGTCTTATTGAGTAGAATATTAATGCAAAAAATTAAGATGATTAGATATCGATAGCTATATGTTTGAATCGTATTTGTTTCAAAAAAATGGATGACAAATATAATTTCAAAAATAACCTTTCATTTTTTGTAATACAAATTCGATTCAAACATATATCTATCAATATCCGATCATCTTATTTTTTGCATGAATATTTTTCTAACAAGTCTTAAAAAGTGAACGGTTCAGATTACCTAAATCAGTTTCAAAATAAGCTTACAAAGCCCAAATGATCTCTCAAGTTGAGATGGCCAACATAAGAGAAGCCCAATCCTTGTAACTTATATATATATATATATATATTCATTGTTACATACAAAAACAGAAAAGAGTTTGTGGGAAGAAAGAAGAAAAATGATTGCTGGAATGAGTGAAATGCTCTATTTTTCTAGGTTTATTTTGTGTTTAGGATTGACTATTTTAGTAGCTATTTTATTGATTTTTTTTCCGTCCACTACGAAAAATTGGAGCTTTTGTGATGGTCTTAAACGTCCCAAAAGGTCCACATGTCATCGCAAAAGACATTTTACGATGGAGTAGCAACAGAGAATGGGAAGCGGCAGAAAAGGGCGTGACAAAAGGTATTTGCAACGGTTACAAACCATCATGTTCTTTTAGGGACGGTAAATCAAGGGTTTTTGCGACAATGTAATATGACATGGAAAAGGGAGAAAAAACTTCACTTTTTGCAATCGTTTATGTTGCCGTCACCCAAAGTTTTTTAGTGGCGGGTTTTGACATTGCAAAAAATATTATTAGCGACGGTCTAGAATGTCGCCAAAAATTATAATTAAATTAAAATCATATTCCTGATAGTTTAAACCATCGCTAAAGATTTGAACAAATACATATATGCGATAGGTTAACCCGTTGCTAATAACATGCAAAGATGATTACATTAGCGACAATTTACTATTGTCGCAATAAAATTATTTTCATAAAATAAATATATATTTTACTAATTCATTTCCTATACCGATTTTTAATATTTTCTAAAATAAAATATATCCACATCCACATCCACATTCGCATTTGCATTCTCATTCGCATTCGCAAAATCGTACGAATAATAATATATACTTACTTTGTAACAATACAGTGTTGACCAAATAAATATTCTTTACAAAAATATATAAAACATTCTTCAACAATACTAATAATTTTTGATAATTCAAGAACTCCAATTTTTGTATCTAAAACAAAACAAAAGAATCAATAATAATAAAAAAATAAAAAATAAAAAGTATATATTATAATTTGTTTTAATATCAACAATAAGCTCCAATATCAATATGCGAAGATATCATCACGTACTCAAAAGGATTGCATATTCAAAAATAAACACAAAAAAAATAATTATTATTTACAGTATAATTAATTTCAAGCTTACAGAAAATGTAAAATATTTGATATTTATTTCAATAAATAAATAAGGTTGTAAACTCCAATATCAATGTGTGAAGATATCACGTACTCAAAAGGGTTGCATCTGCAAAAAGAAAAGAAAATCATTTACAATATAATTAATTTCAAAGTCACAGAAAATGTAAAACATATAATATTTATTTGAATAAATAAATAAATAAATAAGATTGTAAGCTTCAATATCGACATGCGAAGATATTATCACGTACTCAAAAGAGTTGCTTCTGTAAAAGGAAACAAAAAAAAATAGTTATTTACAGTATAATTAATTTCAAGCATACAGAATATGTAAAACATTTGATATTTACTTCAAAAAATAAATAAATAAGATTGTAACATATACATGGATCGAGCACCACACAATATATCTTCCCATAGCTTCTCCAACTGTTTTTAGACCTCAGGATGGTGTTTCAAACGATCGTTTGGCCTTTTTTCTTTTAAGATAGACTTTGCAATATTCAGGGCCAACTGGAACTCTACCAAGTTCATACAATGGATCGTCACTACACTACAAGAATTTACATATTTGCCGACCACTTTTGCCGACCAAAAAAATTTTGCTCGCAGAAAAATTCCATTTGCCGACCAAAAGTAAATTTCGTAGCTAAAAATTCAGACTATTAACGACCAAAATATTTGGTCGCAAATAAGTAATTTTTTGCGACCAAATTGCAGTATTTGTCGCCAAAAATATAAGCAGGAACATGACATTTAAAAGGGAGCTGTGTATGCTATTTTAGCGACTAAAAAAATTTGGTCGCTGATACCAAAACGACGTCGTTTTGGTATCAAAAATCATTACCCGACCATCAGTTTGGTAGGGGATAACTTTACTAATTCAAACACACATAAAAATTTTAGGCGCGCCTCTTTCACACCTCAGGCGAATACGATCAAAGCTCAGTCGCGCCAATCACCTCACCTTACCATCAACCTTGCCGTCCTCCGTCAGCGCCTCCCCACCGCCTGCGCCTCCATCCCTCGTCGCCATTTCTGTTCGTCTTGGGGATTTCTGATTCATCTACGTATTTTTTTCAACTTATAATAGTTTCTCTCTGTTTATAAAATTCAGGTCTCATTTTTTCTCTTTGATTCCTCATACTCGTCTTGTTCTACAATGTCTCACCCACCAGGGCCCTCACCATCGCGATTTGTCGGAGCATCTTCAACTCGCCCTAAAATCAATTTCAGGTATAAATCCTCTGTATCACTCTCATGAACTCAGTCTCGGCCTGTTTCTCCCTCTCACTGTCAATGTTTGTGTTGATGTTTGCTACTGGGATATGTCGATTATAAGATTTCGTGTTATTGTTTGTGAAGTCCCCCAATCTGTGATGTTCTTGTAGTGTTTTTTTGCTCCTATTTCTTTAAGGATCCCTGTTTATATTGGGAAATATACTTAATGAGAATATAATTTTTTGGGTGCTTTTGTAAGTTATTTGTAATTTGATTTCCGAACAAATTAGTTGGTTAATAGGATTTATTCCTGAGATTTTTTAAGTACCCTTAAATGAGGCACAGGCTGTACAAGGACTTACCGTATATACCATCCTTTAGAAGTTGGAGTTGAATTTTTAAGAAGAGACAGGGTAGCACATCTTATTTTAGCCAAGTTGGACTTACCATATATGCTCATCATTTTTCAGTTTGAAGTTTCTTTTCCATTGTGCTAGCAAGTTCACAGTCATGTTTACTCTTAAGGGAAACGATAATGGTCTAAGTAATACCGTGGATCCGATTTTTTTTCATACCATGGGATGTTGGATAGATTTATATATATTATGAAATTACAGTACTATGTTCAGTAAGAGTTGGGATGCAGGAAAGTTAATCCGACGAGTACTCGTGCGAAATTAATTATGCCAAGGCCCTGAGAAATTTAACCCATGGTTTTGAGGGAGTATTAATCTGTCTGCACAACTAATCCCCTTATTGGTGAATCAAATGTGAGACATTACAAAATTAGGAGACAAATCCTAAACATATGGGGTCTTATGTTTTTTAGTTTAATACCCTAATCCTGACACAATCATGTCGAAAAGGGTAGAATATGTATATGTTTATCTTTCATCTTCAATGTTGATATGTACAAGATGTTTTGAAGCTTTAAGTTTTCAGCCCTTGAACTACTTATCAAGTTTTTATATTGTTCATCCTATGATTGCTAAGAAAGGCTTGCAAATTGTTTTCTAAATTTGCAATTCCATTTTTCCGTAGGAAACAAAAAATGAAAACAATATAAAAGCAATGAGACTTTTCAAACTTCAAAAACAACAAAATAAAAAGGATAAATTACGCGCAAGTAGTCCTTGTAGTTTGCTCTCTGTAGTTTTAATTGACTGACTTTTAATCCTAGATATTGAATTATGTGTCATTTTGGTCCAACTAAAAATTTAGGTTAAGAAACATTGGATGGAAAATTAGCATGTCATGTGATTGGTTATCAAGGGCAAAATAGACATTTTATTCTCCCCTTTCTTTCATCTCCTTCCTCACTCACAAACAGAGCCACCAACCCACCACCGTTCCACTGCCATTAGGAGCCGGCAACCAAACAACAATCCCAACATCCATTTTAGATCTGCAAGACATCATAACTATCGAAAATTATAAAACAAAATCCAATTTCCAACCCTAACATAAAAATCACAACACAAAACAAAACTAACATAAAAATCCTAGCTACCTTTGCCAATTATTTTCAAAGGTATTATTATTATGTAGCTCTCTTTTGGATCCCAGAAAAAGGTTGGGTTATGCGTCTCATTAAGAGATTTGGGAAGACAATTGTAGCAAGATTTAATATATATATTATGAGCCATTACTTTACATCTCATTTGGGACATCTAGACAAGATATATAGTTATTATTTATTTTGCCTCATAAGTAGGAGTTCAACTTAGACCATTTTGTCATGCTTTATCCCGGATTTGACATATTTATTTATTTGTATTTTTCATAGCCATTCATAATCTCGTGCTCTTGATTGTGCTCAGCAGTGGCTATTGGCTGATTTGTTTGTTGGTTCTGTTGCTTCGCTTTGTTTGTTGGTTTCTCACCAACTGAAGCTTGGAGCTTGTGCTAGCTCCAAGCTCCTCTTTATTGAAGGAGAGTTTGGTCTAATATTAACTTGTGAACTGCTGCCCTGGTTGTTGTTATGTTCTGGTGCATTTGATTTAGAGTGTGTTCTGTGCTGTGTGTCTGCTGTAGTGCCTGTTCTGTCTGTCTGCTGTAGTGTACATAACTGAAGGGCTGGCTGTCTGGACATATTTTACTAATTTATGCATTAACAAATTTAATATAGTTGATGTGTATGTGTATCTATGCTTGTGTACATATATATATATATATATATATATACCTGGACAGATATATACACAAGATTTATATATATAGGTAAATATGCCTTCAGAATAACCGGACGGAGCAAGGATATGCAGTCTCTGTTCGGTTCAGACAGAGGCACAAAATGAGTGAGAGAGAAAAGTGAGTCTCTCAGTCTCTCCCCTGAATCAGCTTTTTAAGTGTAAGGAACTAGTTTCCTTTCTATGTTCCTTTCTTAGATTGCTTCAGATATATGTATTTTTTTCCATTTTAATTTTAATGAAAGTTTTGTAATACACACCTGTGTACCAGATCACTCATTATGGTGTTTGTTACATGACATAATGTGATGTTATTTTGATTATAATTTATATGGTTTTTGATCTTAACTCTCACTGATAGTTTTATTCAAAATTGACAATAAAATTATAATTATTTCATTCGGGAAATTCTACTATAAACATCCCCTATCGCAAGCACTCCTAAGTTATGCCATTTCCTGTTTTAGTTATGATTAATTTTTTTCTTTAGTTTTGATTTTATTTTAGTTATGACTCGTGTTGTTTGGTTATAACTTTTTTTTTTAGTTATAGCTCGTAAAGTATGAAGGTATGTTATTTTCTTCTTTAGTTATAAGGTGCATATGTACCATAGTTTTTCTCATTTCATTAGAACGAAAATATTATATTTAAGTTCAACTAAAAAATAACATAAAAATTAAAGATTATCATTAAATCTACAAATAAAATTTTAAAAAGCAAGAAAATATGATTTTGTGGACACTTTTATGTTGTATGAAACATGATGTTACTTAGAGCTTTAAAAGTATAAAAATTTTAACCAAATACCACTTAAAAAAAGGTGCATATAAATTCATTTGGTTCATATACAACACTACATTTTAACCAAATACCACTGAGTTCATAACATAAAGCAAAAACATCAATGGATCATAACCAAACATCACTAATTTCATAACTTTTCAGAACTCATTTTGATTTAATAGTGGTGACAATTGGATGTGTTTTGGTAACTCATTTTGATTTAATAGTGATGACATTCGATATAGAGTACTAAAATCGTCAAACTGAAATTTGGTGAAGTAAAAGCTTGGTGAGTGGCAGAGGGATGGCACCCTTTGCATTATACAGAAAGAACTAAAACAATAAGAATTAATACAATTTTTGTGACCATAGCAGGGGCCACAAGCCACCCTTAGGCCCCTGCGTTCACAGGTGGATTTGGCAAGTGTGTCATTCAATATAGAATACTAAAATGTACTAAAATGGTCAAGCTGAAATTTGGTAATAGCTTGGTGAGTGGTGGAGTCGTAGATCAAAGTGTCTCTTGATTTGAGTAAAGAAAACAAGTTTAGGCAAGGTTGGAGAGATTTTACTGAAATTGGGATTATTAGAGTTAAGGCAATAAATGACAAATTTATTTGAGTTAAATTCATCAAATTAAAAAATTTCCGCTACAGTCTTTATATTATGGACATGTTATTCATCAGTCAAAAATATGGTTGAAGAGTCCTTTTTGCCCATGCTCCATCCCTTCCCATTCTCTCTCTCTCTCTCTCCTTGCCGATTCTCAACAAGTTTGTAGAGCGAAAGGATCACACAAATCTCTCTACGGACACTTTTTTTGTCTTGTTCTATCTACTTCCATAAATGGGTAGGATGACATGGTTTACTTCAGCATTGAGTTCTTCAAGCATAACCACTCCCAGGATTGATATGCATTGATTACATATAATACATGTGCGTGGTAATTCTGTTTATGTGATGTGAGGCCTATGATTTCTGTGTTATCCAATTGATTTGTGCTATATATTGAGCTCATATAGGTCTGATCTGTCACCTGCCAAACACATTAGAACCACACCACAAAAAAAAAAGAACATTGTTCTATTATTGAGGATTTGAGTTTTGAACATTTTCTTGCAGTCTTGCAGATTTGATTTTTGGGACTTTTTCCCCCCTAAGAGGGGCTAAACAACCCCAAATACAAAAGTGACCTTAAACAAAGATCTTAAGCACCAAAATACAGAACTTTTTGCAGTAGGAAGTTAAGCTCAAAATAGCATGCAAGTAGGTTCAAAAGCTTAAGCAAGAATGGAGGTTTAAAAGGTTAAAGGCTCACCCTTGAAGACCACCTTCAAAACCAAAACTCCAGCAGCTTTTTCCAACCAAAACTAGTCCAAAAGCTTCAAAAACAACCTCAAGGGACCTCAGCTCCAAGAGTATGGTGTTTGAGTGTGTGTGTTTGTGTACAAAAGTGAGGCAAAACTACACTTTAAAGGCACAAAATGAAGAACAAGAGCAATATAGAGACAAAGCTATATCTATATCTCAAACCACAAATTTTCTAACCTTAGAGGACGGAGGGGATGGTTCTCTCTTATAGAGAACCAAAAGCAAAGCTTCTTGAGGAAGCTAAGGTTCAAGGCAATCCCCTCATACACGTGTATGGAGGATGGCTTCCGTGCCCTCCAGCTGTGTCAGTTGGAGAAAAATATCTCTAAAACGGTGGCAAAAAGCAGCCGACCACTTGAAGTGGTCGGCCAGCTACTTCAAGTGGTCGGCCGACCACCACAAGTGGCCTTCCAAGACAACAAGTGGTCGGCCATGGTGGGAGATGATTAGCACACTGAAAACAAGCCAGGGGTGGGGTGGCCGACCAGAAAAGGTGGCCCACCAGAAAAGGTGGCCCAAAGACCATGAAAACCAGTTGTCTAATCAAAAAACTGGCTAGCGGGAAGAAAAGTGGTCTCAAAGGGGAAATACTGGTCTCCCGCCCTTGTACCACCTTCCAAACAAGGAAAACAAGGTTTTTAACAAAAACAAACCAAAACGGATGCAAAACGAAAGTTTGGGAGGTAAAGCGCGCAGCCGGGAGCCTCGAAAACTAGCTGACAAGCACCAAAAGTGGTTTACGGCCACAAAAGTGGTCTCCCAAACCATAGTGACCCTCTACACCAAGGAAACAAGGTGTGGCTCAAAAACCATGCCAAACGGAGAACGTTAAGCGATCCCGAGACAAGGCACACGGCCGAAGACTCCGAAAATCGAAAACTAGTCTCCAAATGGGAAAAGTGGTCTACCACCACAAAGAGATAGTATACAAGACCTCTCCCTCCCTCAGGCAAGGAAAACAAGGCTTGGTCCACAAACCGAGCTGAAACACAAAGAGTTCAGAGGCCCGGAGGCAAGGCACTCAACCGAAACTCCGGAAACTCGAAACGAGCACAACATGCACTATCACCGAGTGCTCAATCGATGACATCTGAGTCTTAAGGTCGGTCAAAAATGGGGTGTCTACAAGTGTCAATTGGCATACACATGGCTAATCATCGCGGAAATTTAATATGAACTTCACAGCATAGCTCAATAAGAACGCTTGCTCGAGTTATGTGAAATTCCCACTCAGCTGTCATGGTATTGATGGTGTGATATAAGTAACGCAAATTTGGATTTAATGGGTATTCAAATTCATCTCCATCTGCAACCCAATGGCGACCCATTGCTGAATATAGATCAACCACTATATATCTCATGATGATATCTCTCATTTTTTCTATAAACATGTAGGTCTGGTGTGGTGTGATACTTATAGTAGTCACTGGGAAAAGTAGTTCCAACATGCAGAATACATAAAATGGAGATGGACATGATTACTCATGACTTCACAATCCGACACGCTGACAATGACTTGTCGTTATAGTAAACTACACATGAGAGTAGTATGCTTTAAATTGTTGTAAGAGCGTTTTCATGTTGACCTTTACGACGTGAAAAAATGTGCATCAACTTTATACAAGTTGTCACTTCCTCAGTCTATATTGGAGGGTTTGAACTAGATAAGTTTCACATGATAGCTGTGTTTTAAAAGTTTTTGTAATAGTGTTGTCACGTCAACATTGTAGGAGTTGTCAATTTGACAGATTTTATATCCACACAATTTAAGAGGCTTTTTAGCATATTTGAAATCCACTACTCAAACTTTTCAGAAGAACTAAGCATTTACCAATATAAACTAAACTTTTCAAAAATGACTGAATTGATAAAATGGCCTTCCCTCACGTAATGAATTTTTTAAAAATAGATAAACAGCTTACCAACTAACGAAATATGGCAACACATTGAATATTACATGCATGGTGAGTTTGACATTATATATGTGGATGACATTATATTTGGTGCTACTAATCAAGCCTGAAGTAAGGAATTTGCTGAGTGTACGCAAGGTAAGTTTGAGATAAGCATGATGGGGGAGCTAATTTTTTTCATTGGGCTTCAAATCAAACAATCTAGTAAAACAGAACAACCATTTGACAAGTATTTTTAAAAAATATATATTAGGGCCGTCAAATGAGTTTAACAATGGTAGGCACATATGATGAGTTGAAATGCAGTGGTGCTGAGTATTTTAAAAAAAATGGAGACAAATAAAATTATTTGAGGTGGTGTGTGATGGACCAAAAAAATGCTAGTTGTAAGAACCTATAAGAGCCAAAAATAAGTAAAACAATGAGGGCTCAAAAAGTCGTCATTCATATATATATATATATATATGGAGGCAAGGCATACACGGCTAAACCACATATCTAGCATAGATATATATTTAAAAAAAAAATTAACTAAGGAACAACAATCTATGCTATTGTAAGCAAAATATTCATTATACTAAACAAAGATGATGGAATGAGTTCACCATTTTCAGTTTTGAAAGAAGATCCACAATAGATATATAACACAAGTAAAATCATGGAGTTTGAAAAAAAAAATTAGGGAAAGCAATAAATGTAGGAAAACTATTACCCAAAAGACAACCTAAAAGGGGGGTGAATTAGGAGTAAGAAAAGCTCCCCTCAAGTCATGCTCCCCTTGAATAATTGGTCATACTAGATACACAAGTCAACACATTAGGAATAAATAAGATTTTAAGCAAAGGCATGATTTGAGACTAACATATCAAACCAAAGATGTTCTAACATAACAGTTTTCTAAAACGAACAACGTGATTATAAAAACAAGTTTTTCTACATCAATTAGAAACCAAAACAAACATCACCACAATTTCTCCCCTTGTGACATTATGAAAATGAAATTACTGCTTAGAATCTGGGGGTAGAGGAGGGAAGTGATGATGATAGATTGCATCAACGCGGGCCTCAATATGATCAACACGGGTATTGAGGGCGTCAAATTGCTAAATCATTTGTTGTTCCCATGCGAGGCGTTGATTGTAGCGGT